TAAGTGGTTACCGGCGCCCATAGATATCTACAACGTAAATGCCGCCACCCACCTTGAGATATAAGTTCTAAGGTCTCAGCATAGTTACAACGTCTGCCCCACCCTTCAAACCGAAACGCATTACTGCTTCGCAGCAGAAATAGGCAGGGTGGTGGTACCTACCCGCGCGGACTCACAAAAGGTCCTACCACCATTACAAAAATTCCCACTTGTTGCCAGTTATTTATTTATATAACGTTTTAATTCATCTCAAAACGATTCAATGATACTGTAATACAACAATAGTAGCTTCCACCAGTAATAAATTGGGTACATAAATATTTATCAAATAGATCTAAAAGTTTAAAAGTAGACATTAAAACATACTTGAATGATTTTTGTTTACTTAGTTTTGTATAGAAAAACGTATATAAATATGAAAGTAACTCCTAACTTACTGAACCACAAAGTACCTACTTAAAATTACATGCGTTGAAATTAGGGTGGATGTTACATAAACTACTTTGTATAGGCTTTTTACTGATGGTAGGACGACTTGTGAGTCCGCACGGGTAGGTACCACCATCCTGCCTATTTCTGCCGTGAAGCAGTAATGCGCTTCGGTTTGAAAGGTTTTTTTTTTTTTTTTTTTTTTTTATGATTGAATGATTACTGGTGGCCCGGAGGCCTTTCCAGTTTCACCAGGACAGGTGGGCGAGCAAAGGCTCAGCCAGGTGGGGTGGGATTTGCTAACAGCTGCCCGAGCGCCTCCGAAGGAGACCTAACAACTCAAGAGTAGCTGCTTCGCGAATGAATCTACTACCGGATCGGAATCGCGACCCGCTGAGAAGATCCGGCGAGAAACTCAGCGAGCTGATTCATGGGTTAGGTTGCACGGCGAACTCTTTGTCGAGTTCGACGAGTACGGTTACCGAGGTCCCTAAGCCTGCTCCTAGAGCTGAAGGCGTCTAGTGCAAAGGTTATTGGATCTGATGGATCCGTAAGGACGTGTCTAGGGCGTCGACGGTGACTGGCTCCTGCATGATCAGGATTCGGGGAGTAGTCAGCGGCGGCTACGATAAGGCGATTATCATGACGCATAGCCTTATCGAAGTACCGTTCCGACGCTGACTTCATGTATTTCTGTATAGATTCGAGGCCCAGGTCGTCGTGTAGGTCAACGTTCCTCACGAACCACGGAGCTCCGACGGCTAACCTGCAAAAGCGGGATTGTAGAGATTGAAGGGTGTCTATGTGTGTGCGGGCCGCGTGAGCGAACACCACACTCGCGTAAGTCATGACGGGCGGTTTGAAAGGTGCGCAAGTCGTTCAGCTATAAAAACTGAAATTTAGGATTAAGGTAGATACAAAAATAGCAGGGAAGAGAAGCGGCCGCCCTGAAGATAAAAGACGAAGATTGAAGAAAGAATAGGGAAGAAGCAAATGTCCAAGCTATCCTCCCTCATTTCATCAGCACATATTACAACATAGCAGCAAACTCGATAGGCAGAGAGCTCAAGGCCCAGGCAGAGATTGTTGCCGCGCGATCCGTTCTGTGCCCCCGTAAAGGGACGCCACAACTCAACAGAGACATGGATAATGTCTATTACGACATAACACCAGTTGGGCCGTGAGCTCGTCTACCCAAGCATAAAAAAATACCCTTTACCAACCAATGATCATTATGACAGTCAAGAAAACATAACATAAAACCCGACAATACCTGAGTTCTGAATATAATTCAAATGATTTTAACTCGATACGTGTCTTTTTAGCTCGATTCAAGACCGTGCATTTGCAGTTTTGCTTCAGTGGCCACTAAACTTAAAATATAAATAATTATCATTAAATTTTTATTGTCGAGCCCACTGAGTTCCAAAACACGTCATTTCGGATACTCCCGATCCATTAACGGTGCTTTTAGGTACCTCAAGCACCGGTCATCGTTCTCGTCTAACCCGTCGCTTGCGACGAAGGGCTCGGCGAGTAATTTAACCCACAGACACAGCCCGCTGAGTTTCTCGCCGGATCTTCTCAGTGGGTCGCGATTCCGATCCGGTGGTAGATTCTGCGAAGCACTGCTCTTGCTAGGGCTAGTGTTAGCAACGCCTCCTGGTTTGAGCCCCGAGACCTCACCTACACGTTAGGGTTACGCTGACATAGCCTCTCAAGGCTATCAGATTAGGTACGAAAAAAAGAAGAGATGAATGAAGTTTCTTCGGCACTCGTTCGAAATGTAACCTATAAGGTCGCTTCCGCTCTTAGGACAAAAGGCTTTTAATCTTCAATTGTGTGGCCACAGCGCGAGCGTGACTCACGATCGCGATCAGCTGCGCGGAGAAAGTGCAGTGACGGCATCGCGGGGACACATAGAGCCACAGTAACTGTCACAGCAGACGTTCAACGTAAACAGATTGTAGCGGGTAGACATTGTAAAACACAAGAAAGATATTTAACTGATGCCTGAACCTCGCTCATGAAATTGTCAAGATAGATTTTTTTCAAGATACATGTTCCAAAGTATACAGGCTCCGAACAACATTCGGACCGTGAGTCTGCCGAGCAATATCACCCGATCGATGGAAGACGTTCCCTCCGTTATTAAGCTTCCCACAAGATAAACCAATAAGTAAACGCACAGATTTATTTGTTCTGTACCAAAAACCTACGTTCTACATTATCGTATTACGCCTGCGTTCGCGTCCTATAATATTGATGTCTCCGGGCCGCTGTTTAGTATTTTTTTTATTGCATAGTTGGACGAGCTTACGGCTCTTCTGGTGTTAAGTAGTTAACATAAATGCTGCCATTTTACAGCACAACGGCTGCCCCGACCTTAAAACCGAAACGTATTATTGCTTAACGCAGAAATAGGCAGGGCGGTGGTACCTACCTGTGCGGACTCACAGACGTCCTGAAAGCACAAATCAAAATATCCAAGGCCCAATTAAATTAACCGCTATTCTACATAAATGTCCAGCATAAACACAGCATAGTAATTAAGCTCAACAATAATTTCAACGCTGCTATTTAAGTATTCAATTTAAAATAGATCGATAATACTGCGTCTCATTTACGCTGTGTTACACAGTGGGCGTATTAAGTAACTCCATAGCATTCGCCAAACATAGGACGATACCGATTTCTTTTCGAAAGTTCAAAACGCCACCACGATTAACCTTAAAGGATTACATTACGAAGCGCGCTCTCTCTCGTCGCAGACTCAACCCAGGGCAGTGAATGAAAGTACAAATTTTAACTGATTAAAAGAGAGAAGGTAGTTCTCAGTTCGAATTTGTTTCAGAACTTGTTTTCTAGTTAATCGATTTCGATTATCAATGTCTTTATTTAAAGGTCGCTTTTCGTGTAACATCTGACTAATACTGCTTAAGTTATCTTTAGTAACGCATATTTAATTGACTTGGACTGCATAGATGATATCCTAATTTTATTCTGTTGAAATCAATTTTCGCTTTTGTTAACTAATTGCGTTAGGTAATAAAATGTTTTATGACTGATCGTAACTTGAGTTTGGTATTCTTAAATGAACGGAAAATTTTCGATGACTACCCCACCCGTTTCCCAGCAGAAATAGGTAGATGACGACGTCTCTAAATCTAACGCTGAGACGTCACACAGGTCTTCGGAGCTTCTCGGCAAGTCTGATCCCGATCCGGTAGTGGAAGCATTCGCGAAACAGCTATCCTGGAACTATCGGATATCCTTCGTAGGCACTCAGGCAGCTGTTATCATATCCCACACGTCTTAGCTGAGCCGATGTTCTGGCACCCGTCTCGGCGAAGTTGGAAGGCCTTCGGGTCACCAAAAGTCAAATCTAATAATGAAAACATACAGTGCGACGCTACCTACTCGTTACTAAGAACTTTCCATTAATAGACGGATTTAGGTATTTGTCTTGATATTTTATCCAGCGTAAATGATGTTCGAATTTGATATCACTACATTCAAGCTTTTTAACGTTCTCGATAGCGTAAAAGTTAACTAAAGCTTGGTATGCAGTTGGAATATTTGCCTACGTTTGCCGACTATAATAATTTATTTAAATTAGTATTCGTGAATTGAAGAACGTTTGTACTAGATTCGTTTGCTCGTCTGCCAACATGAGCAATAAAAAAATACAAAATTCAAAACCACACCAAAATAGTTCACAAATAAAAACGAACATAAAACAAAGTATTAAAATGTAATATTGTGAAATCAGATGTGTTTCGTTGACACAATAAACATCCGGGTCAAGGCCTTTGTGCCCATCATGGAAGTCACTTAGCGTGAAGGTACAACGCAAGGAAAATATGAAATCGGTCTTTTTTATTTCTATCTGCCCATTCTGCCAGTACAACCAGATATTGCACGTGCCTGTTACATAAGTTACTAAATAAGTTTCAAATTAGCGTAATTATTCATGTTTATTTTGTACGATCTTGAAGGTACTAGCGTTTGTGACTTGTGTACATGTAGTGACATCTATCTGCCATAAGCATAAACTATTAAGCTGAGCGAAGAGAAACCAATTTTAATAGTAATGCAATCCAAAATTAACAGACAGATTAAATTTCATAAAGAACATGCTTATCGGCAACAGATGTCGCTTTAGAAGTCGAACGAAAATTCATCTTTTCTTTTACATAATTTAAATAAAAGAATTAATTTATGTTTTGGTATTGTTAACTTCTCTAATAATTGCAAAATTAAAATTAATCCTGTTTTCCAAAATTGTAATTGTCAAATGTATTGTCGAATAATCAAAAAATTCCTTATCCACGATCTTGTGTAGCCATATCTTTAAAATTGAATTAAGTATTAGAATTTTTTTAGTTTACATTCCCTACAAGTTATATATGAGCCAATGACAATATTTAACAATTAGAAATTTAAAAATATTATGTACGTTTTGTGTTAAATATATTAATAGGGCGCTCATTTATTTCCAAAACTTTGTCATTTTCATTCTGATATTTTTATATCTATCGTCTGACAACACAGCAGTTTTGCTCAATCAACGCTGCAGCAAGTAGCGGGGTTCGTGTGTAGAATTTGTCATTCGTACAAATTTAGATAACGAAATCACGAAATTAGGTGAAAACGTTGTAATCGAATATAAATAACGGCAGTTAATTTCGTTTTGGTGTGTAATATAGACAGTGTCGTTCTAAACCCTGTGCTATTGTGTGAAAAAAAGTGGTAAAACACGAATGCTTAATCTCGAAAGTGTTACAAAATGAGTAATTTCGCGAAAATTGTCAAAACTACGCCGATTACAGATGATTACGACATCTCAAATACAGTCCTCGGCCTTGGGATCAATGGAAAGGTTCGTTTTATTTATAAATTTATCAGGAGAAACGGTTGATTTGACTGACGAGAACAATGTTTACAATTATGACGTAAACGTATAAAATTAGCTTACCTTACCCGCACACCTTTAATGTGACTTATCATAGGTACTATTATCACCGTTTATTGGCGCGAATGCAATTAGGCTCCGTGCTTACCTACTAAATTAGAGCTAAATCTCAAAGATTTCAAAATCCGAAGAAAACAATTTGAAATAATGCATAATGGCGCAATTTTACCTCGTAGGAACACTGTATTGCACATCACATCTAACAACACCACAGTTTAATTCATTAAATTGTGAAATTACTTTTCCACATTATATATAGACAAATAATCATGAGTCATGCTAAAAAAAACAGTTTGAGAATGAACACTGTAGGTTCTTGGTAATTGTTCTTAAATTATCAATATGCATGAGCAACTATGACCTGTAAGATAATTCATATAAATTCAAAGCACATATATTATTTAATTTACAAATTTATTTAAATTTCTCTAAATACTTCATACACCAACATGTGTCTGTGATTTTGAACAAAAATATAGAAACTTGATGCTTTGATATGTAACATTGCTCTCTATGACTTAATAAATGCCAAATTTATCAATCTAGCTATATTTATTTTATAAATAGAACAGAAGCCACTACAGCCTACAGGAAAAAAATGCATTAAGTTATATTGATGGATGAGATTATGCCCACATTCAAATCAGGTTAGAAATACAATATATTTGTAATAGTAAATTGCATGTTACAATATTATTATTATAAACAATATTTATTTTAATATACAAGATGTCTTGTCTCGTATATAACATAAATTGTAAAGCAAGACTACACAGTGAAGGAATGACATAATTAAAAATTGAGCTCCAAGATCTATAACTAATTATTAAGAGAAGATATTTTAAAGTTAGCTACTGCCACCACAATTTAGGTAAGTTTTATTATTATAAACCACAATGCTGTCTATTATTATATATATCTTTTATATTTTTTTAGCTATATCTTTAAAGCAATGACATATACTGGTTTCAAAGGATATTAGCTGAATAATATAATAAAAAAATTGATTTCATGTCTTAGAATGTATGCAGTCCTTCACACTGTGATATAGCTATATAGCCTTCAGTAACCACTCCAATATCAGGAGAACCTCAATATCACCCGTCTACAAACATGTTTTAAAAACTTAAAAGACAGCTCATATCTCTCCAGATATTAATTTAACTTCACGCACAAGAGTACACTGGTAAATTTAATGCCTAAGGCATTCTCTACCAGCCACCCAAGAGTGGTTCAGAGAGAGCTGTGGTAGATGCATTGCTTTATTGAAAGTAATTTATATTAATATACAAAAAGGTATATAAACATACGCATAACATACAATACTATTATAATATTTAATAATATACAATTTATACTTTGCTATACTCATACATTTTTGTTTGTTTGTTTGTTTGAATAATTAATACTTAGTTTTTGATCATTAATAATAATAATAATACAATTATACATAACATATTTATCTCATTAAAAAATAACAGAAAGGTAGTAAGTAAGTATATTGAACAGAAAATCCCAAGTCATTATAAGACTGCAAATAGAATTATTAGATGTGCAGATTCAGAAGAATTTACTGTTAAGAGTTTTATTTCTCTATTTCAAAATATTAAGAGTCAAATGTTCTATAATAAGTAATGATAAGCTAATGCCTTACCGAAGAGGTAATGTCAGTGAACTCATAAAACATCCAATGACACAGAGATGACTCATACAAGTATTGCTAGATTACTCTGCATTACGGTGTACAAAGATAGAAACACTCATTTCTGAATTAATATGTGGTGAAAAATTGGTAAGAATTACTGCTTTAAGTAAGATTTGTTAACAATATGAATTTCAAAAGTTCTTCTGCTAGCCTATACTATTGTGCTTCAAATTTAAATCCTCTGAAACTGAGCGACATGAGTGACATGAGAGACTAGTATGCAGGTGAATCATTTAGTCACCTGGACCCCTGGCATGAATAAATTACTGAACATTGAAAACTAAGATAATACAAGCAACTTTTAAAAAGCATCCAACACGGTGGAGCATTCAAAAAATTGCCCAAAACAATGTAAGGTATCTAAGGGTTAGAACCTCTTGACTTTATGCAATGAACATCATATCAGTGTGGAGGCGTCAAGTTGCAGTCTCTGCGGTATCAGCGGCTGCCTCGATTCCCGCCAAGGGTGGGTGTCGGAGCCGTGAGCAGCAATAAAATAATACACACTACAAAAAGCCGCTGCCTACCGCAATATTCTAATAAAAAACTTCATTGGCTATTTGAATCAAGTAAAAATTAATAGAGGTTCAATTAAAAAATCGAACTTTTTTTTTTCCTACCTAAGATGATAGCCTTGAGAGGCTATATCAGCGTAACCTTAACTAGTAGGTGAGATCACGGGGCTCAAACCTGACGACGTTGCTAACACGAACAAGTGAGCTGGACTTTATGGTCGTTTGCCTTAAAAGACCATTGAAAAGTAATTGACAGTTCGAAATGCTGGAAATAATATTAAGACGACAATAAAAAACGCGGGATCAAACCGTAAAAGCATGTGAGATAGTACATAGATGTAGAAAAATTGTGAGACATGATTTTAGTGATAAATACCATATGACCTTCGGATTCAAGCAACCAACTTTTGCACACCAATAAATAAATTGTAGGTAATTTAAACTAAATATTTTGGAGTTTTCTTCTCCCCGCTGCAGCAAGGATCGCGGCGGTGACCTCAGCATCAATGACGTCACGCTGTGCTACATTGCCGGGATCCGAGCTGGGATATTCCGATTCGGATCATCGCTTGTAATTTAAAAAAAAATATAGGTTTATGGTAACTGGAAGACAAGTCTTAGAAAAAACTAGTTTTTAATTACTTAATTTATATCATCCGATGTTATTGCGAAACGATCTAAGAATAGATCGTCATTGGACAATCGTGACTAGTTAATCGTTCTAGGCCACTGTCACTGTCCTTGATCCTGACAACGCTCGACCAAACATCGGAGGAACTGTGACTGGAATCTCGGTCACCAACCGCAGTCTCGAAAGCTACAACTAAAATTAAGTTGCGGGAATTTCAAGAAAATAATTCCAATTCTAGTGAAGCTGTTTCAATTTAAAAGTACTTATTAAGACGTTGACTGTCATGTAGGTCACCGGTGCCCTACGCGGCGCACTGGAGTAATTATGTCGATTTCTCTCTTCGATCTTCTTACTAAGTACTAAGGCGCCAGAATGTCTAGTAGACTCCGGGAAAGACGAATCCGATGATACCGAGAATCTATTTCTTAGAGACCTATTTTAAATGTACATTAACAAACAAAAGAAGGCAAAGTTGAAGTAATAAATATCTTCTAGAGAGAGCAACCGGTTGACGGGGTATCGTGTCCCGACCTAGCAGGCTGGTTTTGGTACAACGGGGTCTGGGCGGCCTGACGCGATACCGTACCGAGACGGCCATCGTTTTAGAGCCTCCGATTCGTCTCTGAGGCTCCGTCGGCCAGACGTCTTTGGGGTGATCTGCGTCTGGTTGTAATTTTGACCGAGGTCAACGTTACCGAGGTAGCCCCTTTACCTCATCCGGGTTCTGGTCTCGGAGGCTTGGGCGAACAGTGCAGGGAAGTCGTTTAGTGGGTAGGTTTCTGAAATCATCCTTGGAACCGCGGTTTCGCAGTCGCGGACCAGTCCCACATACCCCGCGCGCCCCCTTAGCTCGAGGACCTCGTGGGGGGTTGGGCCCTGGGCACGGAAAGAAAGGCAATCCAAGCGCTTAGTAACAGAAATCGACATAATTACTTCAGTACGCCGCGTAGGGTACCAGTGACTTACATGGCAGTCAGTGTTAACGGTATTTTTTTAGCAAAGTAATCAATAAGGATTCCATACCTTGGTGGATGTATACACCTACATCTTATATATATTTTTTAAACTTTAGAAGGTCAATTTAATGTTCAAGAAAACTAATATAAAGCTCAATAATAGTCTCGGGTATATTATGTATTTCTATTGGGGATGAGGCGTCTTGTGAGCACGCATTAGTGGCTGCACCATCATCCCGCCTCTTTCTGTCGTGAAGCAATACCGGGTTTGAAGGATCTGCAGCCGTTGTATTGTACAGCTGAGACTTCGAAGTCACGTCTCAAGGTCGGTGGCGGCATTTACTTTGTTAATGTCCATGAGCTCCAGTGAACATTACGTTAACTCGTCCACTCAGTTAAGCAACAAAAAAAATGTGTATCGAATTATACGGCTTCTAACATCGACATAATCTAAAAAATGGATTACGAACGAGCGCCATGTAATTGTCTGATAAGAAAAGTGTTTTATCGGGTGATTTCGCTGGTACTAATGTGCAGATTACACTTTGTAAATTGTACGATAGATTACGGGAACAATCGTTGATGTATGCGTGAAGACTTACTGCGAATTTGGACACGCACTGGACCCAATAGTAAGACAGGTAACGGATATTTAGATATAAGCATACCCGATCCTGTGGACCGAATGGTAAACACGTCGCCCTAAGCACGTCATTACGGATCCTCCCGATCCATTAACGGTGCTTTTAGGTACCACAAGCACCGGTCACCGTCCTTACCAAACCCGTCGCTTGCGACCAAAGGCTCGACGGGTAAATTAACCCACAGACACAGCTCACTGAGTTTCTCGCCGGATCTTCTCAGTGGGTCGCGTTTACGATCCGGTGGTAGATTCTGCGAAGCACTGCTCTTACTAGGACCAGTGTTAGCAACGTCATCAGGTTTGAGCCCCGTGAGCTCACCTACTAGTTAAGGCTACGCTGATATAGCCTCTCAAGTATATCAGATTAGGTAACAAAAAAAAAGAAAAAAATTCGATGTTTTTAATTGAACCTCTAATAATTTTTGCTTGATTCAAATAGCCAATGAAGTTTTTTATT